CAATGACTGTTCCTTTTGCAGTCGCGACGATTAAAATGACAGTACTTTTTTTTCCGTGCAGTAAAAGAGGTGTATAAACACTAGGGATGGGCAGTATAATATGACAGCCATTATTTTGAGCGGTGCTATACGGAGAAGTATGCAACTATTATGGGTATTTTAATTGAAAAAAAGCTCTGCCGAGACTTTTGTCAAATTGGAGGGACATATAATTTTCCTTCGCATGTATCTCAGCGACTTAATAATAAGGTCAAAGATAAAATTTTTCGCCTCAGTTCTTTCTATTCTTATTTTTCTCTATTCTATTCTATACAGGAAAAGTGTTACCAAGAGCTCTACGATATTTTTCAAGATTCAGATCGAAGACCAACGATGGGAGATCTGCAAAAAATGACGTACCTGGAGAAAGTGATTAGAGAAAGCCTGCGTTTGTTTCCAAGCGTCCCAATGTTGGGAAGAGAGGTGACAGAGGATGTGCAACTAGGTAAAATTTATAAAACGTGATTATATCGAATTTTTTTTTAGAATAACCATTGGTGGACCCAAGTTGTAAGCAAGATCTTATCTCTCCATTTAAACCTATGGAAATTCATCGATTCTTGGAGAGGCCACTGCCCAGATAAGAATCGATTGTTCAGCACAGGTCTAGATGAAGAAATACCAGCGTTGTCAACCTGCTGGATCCGCTCTACTTGTGATTATCATCAACAGCGGGCTGATAATTGGATGTATTTCTATCATACGGAACTATGTGTATTAAGACATGAGCCCTGAGACTCATAAGAATAGGTGCATAACAGGGCTCACGATATAATGCACATAGTTCTGTTTGACGGAAATACGTCCAATTGAAGTTGAGTTGACTCACAAAGCTACATCCATAGAAGACAAGGAGGAGCCGACCCACTGGCTGCAATGGGTGGTTCCTCTGGATTGCTAGAAAAAGCGCTCGAGAGAGACTGCCAAGGGCGTAAAAAGAGGGCCTGAATTTTTCCAGAAATCTACTCGGCCTCTACCAAGAAATTTAAAGTATTTTGCAAAGTATATGCATGACATATATTTCATGTTGGAAACTGAATCAATTTTTCCGTCGTGAGAATATCTTGGAATTGCTCCTGAGATGAATTAAATTTTCTGGAGAAGGTCCCCTGGACCCCGCTGGAGCACCTGCAATTTCTTATGATACTTTGCATAAGGGTGGTTTCAAAATAACTGGAATAGTTATGTCACCGTAACTGACAACACATTTTTCGGTCATATTTTTAGTAGTAATGATAATCACTCGAATTTTTTTGCATTAATCTACACAGGGTTTCGTGCTGTAACGCTGTTCAAATATTTATCGCTCTACTTTTCAATTTCAATATATTAATGACCTAAAATGTGCTGTCTGTTACGCTGACTTTTTACCACGTAACAGACAGCACATTTTCGAAATTTACATGATATTAATTGAGAAGTAGAGCAATAAATCATTAGAAAGCGTTATAATACGTAACCCTTTGAAGATTAATGCGAATAAATTCGAGTGATTATCATTTCTACTAAAAATATGACCGAAAAATGTGTTGTCTGTTACGGCGACAAAACTATTCCAGTTATCGTGAAACCACCCATAACCTCTATTGTGAAATAGTTGCTTGAAGCGCCGTGCCGTGGCACGTTGCGAGCGGCCAGCGCGCATGGCGCCTTCAAACCTAAAGGGATACTTCAAGCATTGCGCAGTGCGTCCATGTCCAATGTGTCTGGTTTGCCTAACATTGGCTATTTGATTTTTAGGTGAATACATTATACCTAAGAACTCGCTCTTAGCCCTTCCTGTCTACACCCTCCACCGCGACCCAACCGTTTTTCCGGATCCAGACAAATTCGATCCGGAGCGCTTCAATCCGGAAGAGGCAGCGGGGCGACATCCGTACGCTTATGTTCCATTTGCTGCCGGGCCCAGACACTGCATAGGTAATTGCACTCCATTTTGCAATAATTAGGAACCCTACAATTCCTGGCTCATCCGCAAAAACACTTGACTGCATAGGGATACTGATGATGGTGTATACGTTGTTTCAAAAAGCCAGAAATCGTACAGTTTGTAATGGACCATTAGACAAGGTACTCATTTCAGCATTCTGATACACGATTCTTAGCCAAAATTTCACGGAAAACACGCTGCACACAACGAAAATTACAGAAATAAACTCCTTTTGAAGATATTTAATGATTCTTGATGCGTGAATTCAAACCACCCGCTCATGAAAACTCAATGCTCTACGTGATTCATATCGCTCATGCTCAACGTTATAATGACAACCTCTGCGATATAAAAATCTGGCAACCTCATTCTTGACGCTTTGGCTCAGCTACAGCAAATTGCTTATAGTTTGAACAACACATGGTGGGAAATGAACATTGCTCGATTCAGAAGCTTGCTGAAACCGTTGTAGTGCGCGATTTGACTCACGTAGAGCTTTGAGTTTCTTGTGAGCGGGCAGTTCAAATTCATCGTAACCAATGTGAAATAAAAACGTTAATATCTTCGTTAGGAAATGGTTTCATTGATTGTCGTTTCGCAAATTGTGTTCTACGTGAAATTCTGGTTAAGAAACATGTAGCAAAATGATTAAATTTGTACCTTGTCTAGTGGTCCATTGAAAAATGTGGTCCAACTTTCATCCTTTGATTACGTACTATTTTCACACTGTACACTTGGACTGCGTTCAGCAGAGAGGAACCGAGCCACATTACAGCCATTGTGTAATTTAATTGGGCAACTTAATTTATTATCGAAAACGGCTTATGCGCAGGTGCTATCGTTCTTTTTTTGTTGAAAATTGACCTGATCGATGCGATATATTGCATGCCAGTTCGACCACGTCACTGGAGCTTGACGAATCACCTTAAAGTTTGTGAATCATTAAATTTTTGCTTCCGTATTTTGTGCTTTATGCAGTGGTAAATAATTTTAATCCCTCTCAAAGATATATCCTGCTGAATTTTCTTTGAGATCGGCAAA